TTGTCTTGTAGTCCATAGTCGACTGCACCCATTGGGTGTCCACCACAACTAGCCAGTCTCAGAGGTCAAGGATGCCAGGGACTGGCAGATGAAGAGGTTTGCAGGGGGTGGCTCCTCTTAGCCCGGGTAGGTCCATCTGCCATTTGGGGTACACCCTTCTGATGTCTGAATACACTGTTTTTACAAAGCTTGGTCTGGGGACAGCAGGGTTACTAAAAGTCATGTGCTGGATGTTAACTACAGTATAGAAACTTCTAGTAAGGCTTCTGTTTGGATCTTTCAATTTTTGCTTATGGCTGTTCTTTAAGAATGCCAGGAATAAGATGTGGCTCAGTCACAGGGCACTCAGCTCAGATGCATGAGTCCCTGGATTTGGTCCCCAGCACTGCAGAGAATGTCACAATGCCTACAGGCCTTTTCTATTTTTTGTATAAAATTAAGTCATGAAGGTCCTATGAAGTATTTGCACTCAGGCCACCGGCGTTGTGTTTTTTTCTATTAGTTTTGTTCACGTTAATGCATCCCTATGTAGTAAAGTGAAGTCAGAGTGTCTCGGGTGGGAACGATGAGGCCCGCATCACTTACCTTTTCATTGCCTCCCACATTGATGTGTGCATGGATAACGCATGTACTAGGGAGCAGGTGGGTGTCCCCACATACTGCTGAGCGTAAGGGGGCAAGCCACGAGCTTCTGTCCTCTGTAGCTGCCGGCATCTGCACCGGAGAGACAAAGACAAGACAGTGAGGCCTCCTCCAGGTAGCCTTAGGAAGTATGCAGAAGAAGAAACACACTTAAGGGGAAAGAGAAGTGAATGTGATGAGGGCCCTGAGAGGGGAGGGTGTGGGAAAGCTGCAATCTGTGTCATTTGGAGCCTCCAGTAGTGTAGAAGGCCCCAGCAGAGGCCAGTGGGCACGTGAGTAGAAGAGAAAGCTGGCGAGCACTGTCCCGTGTGCTGGGAGAGAGACGGAGGCAGGGGAGGCGGCTCCCATCACTGGGACGCAATCCCGGCACCCACAGCGGAAAGGAAGAAAGGTTTGTTTGGGCTCACATTTCTTCTTCAGTGTGAGGAGGCTTCAAGACTAAAAAGGCTCAAGTCAACACCTTCTGATATTGCCTGTCCTACGGAAAACCCACTACTGTTATGGACTACTGGACTATATTGGAATATTTTGCAGAATCCACGCACCTACAATATTTAAATGACAATAGAATCCCCTTCTCTGACAAAACTAAAGAAGGGGATACAAATGAAGGACCATTTTGTATCTGTGTATTCAAAATAGTTAAGACAGATATACAGCTACTTTCTCTTAATTCATTGAATAGAAAGATTTTTTCTAATAGTGTTTCTGGACAGGATATCATGTCTGCATCTTGTACTATGAATAACCACTACAAAGACAACAATATGCAATGTATTAATTATTGAAACTGTCCTACTAATTGGTTTTGAAACTGTCTCATTGTTAGTTTCTCAATAAAATTATTAAAAAAAAAAAAAAAAACCAAACGGCATGAGAAGGGCCTGGAGGAGAATTGCTCACCCTATGGCCTCCAGGAAGCAGAGAGAGAAGGGTGGAGTCCAGAGAAGACTGTTCCCTGTAGGTCACACCCCAGAGACTGTCTGCATCCAGGCCCCGACTCCAGTCAGGCTCCGCCCTCCATCCAGGCCCCGCCTCCACCTGGGCCCTGCCTCCACCTAGTCCCCGCCTCCAGTCAGGCCCCGCCTCCATCCAGGCCCCGCCTCCACCTGGGCCCTGCCTCCACCTAGTCCCCGCCTCCAGTCAGGCCCCGCCTCCATCCAGGCCCCGCCTCCACCTGGGCCCCGCCTCCACTCAGGCCCCTCCTCCACCTGGGCCCCGCCTCCATCCAGGCCCCGCCTCCACTCAGGCCCCGCCTCCACCCGGGCCCCGCCTCCATCCAGGCCCCGCCTCCACCCAGGCCCCGCCTCCACTCAGGCCCCATCTCCAAACAGTGCCTAGAGCCCTGACTCCTCCGGGGATGAATCTGTAATAAGTAGAGAGCCCTCATGATTGCCCCCGGAGTATTTTGGCGGATATTTTACATCTGAACTGCCCTGGAGGGAAGAAAGGCTGGCCAGAGCAGGGCTCGGAGAGAGCAGGCTGGACTGGACAGAGGAGCAGGTCAGTGTGCTGCTGCAGTTTGAGGCCGCCCGCAGACGGGCAGCGCGGCTTGGCCCACTGGTGGCTCCGCGGCGCGGGTGAGCCCCGGGTGCTGACTGCGGGCTTTGGTCTCCCCAGGAGCGGAAAAGGACTGTGGGGGTGCTGACGTCCTCCGTCTATGGCAAGCGCATCCAGCAGCGCACTGAGCCTCTGAACCGCGGCTACGGCCGTGTGAACCACGTGCAGGCGGACTTCTACCGGAAGAACGACATCCCCAGCATCAAGGAGCCGGGCTTTGGGCACATCGAGCCGGCCTGACGCAGGCCTCGCGGGCAGGCGAGGTGCGCCCAGCTGGTCACAGTCCCCAGGGCCTGGCGGTGGGGAATGAGCAGCTTTTTCTCAGCTTGTCTGGGTTCGAAGCCAGGCCAACCTTTAATACGTATTAGGAATGTGTAGAGAAGGTTTTACCGGGATTTAGGTCAGATTAAATGACGCTGGAGATGGGCTGATTGTGAGCACCCGAATAAAAGGAAAACCTGGTTCCCTTCTAGGCCGGCTGGCTTGGTCTCGGGGCTGCACTGTCTCCCTCTTTGCGGGACTCCGAGGGAGGGCCGCGGGAGGGGAGGGACAGTGATGGGGGACGCTGCTAACACACACAGCCACGCCTTCCCGGCTCTGCGGGAGGTGAAGTGAGCCCGCCTTTGCCGCAGGCAAGCTCCAGCTGGCCACCTCTGCTTTCCTAGAGATCTCACGCACAAATAACTGAGGAACAGCCCTGATGGGAATGGGTGGATCCTTGTCGCCTCTCAAGGGAGAAGTGGCTAGAGGCGTTGGCGGGGAGGCTGCATTTGGGGTTTCAACCGATTTGGGGAAGATTGTGGCCGCTGCCTTTTGTCCGTTATGGCCTAAGGCAAGTCATTTGAACTAGTCTAGCCTTCAAGTTCTCTCTCTCTCTCTCTTTTTTTTTCCCCGGAACCGGGGATTGAACTCAGGTCCTTGCGCTTGCCAGGGAAGCGCTTATTCTACTGAGCCATCTCCCCGGCCCCTAAAAATGGCAGAAGGAATTTTTTTTTTTATTTTTTGGCTAGCTCAGAATGCCTTCAGGGCGTATTTGGCTGGCTGCAGTTGTGGGGATCGAACCACAGCAACCTCGAGGCTGACTGCTTTGTTGAAGCAGCCACTTAAACAACTGAGCTAAGGGGCAGGCCCCAACCCCAAGTTCTCATTTTTAAAATGAACTTCCAGACCTACATGAGCTTTGCTGGAATCAGTGAGTTCCGAGTTCCGGGTGGAGCCAGGAGAGCTCCCCGCCCTGCCTCGCTGGACCTCGCCCAGCCCCTGCTCCGGGTGGAGCCCGGGGTCTGCCACACTGCGCCCGCGCTCTGCTCTGTCTCTGCGCTATTCTTTCCCCTCCCCATGGCCCTCTCCAGGGCTTTCCCCTTCTGGAAGCAGCTGTTTTGAACCTGAAAATGTTTGCTTTGGAGTTAATTTGAAGCTCACTGGAGAGCTAACACATCAGCTATGTTTCTTCCTTTGGAGGAAATCCCTCGTCTACCATAATTTAGTTTCCCACAGTTTAGCAATTAACAAGCAAGTGATCTAATTAATTTCCGAGCTGGTCCTTCAGCCTCTGGTTTTACTGTTTGGGGTCTGAGTCCGCTGCAGGATTCTCTAAGGATCCACAAGACTGAATTGCTGGCAGTTTCAAAGCTGATTCCTAAATATTTCTTTATTTATCGCAATGTTTTTTTCAGTGTACATGCCTTTTATTTATAAAAACATGAAAAGTTTATTTGAGTTGTTTTGGGGTATATTATTCCATATTTCCATTAATACAATAAAAATATATACAATCTAGATGATAAAACTTTGTATAAATTACTCTTTGTTCAGTACTGATTTCAACAAAAGGTATCTCTACGTAACTTCAATAAATTTCTATCAAACTAAACCATTTTTATTTTACTTTAAGTCAGACCCAACAGTCTTAACCTAATGCACGGGCAGAATTGGGCAAGATTTCAAAAGATATCACATTTATCAGGCAGTAAAAATTTAAATGTATTTCCACTGTATCCTGACATTCACGATTTAAAGCCAATAAGCGTATGCACACTAAGTCCTTCTTGTCAGCGAGAAAACTTTTTTTTTCTTAATTGAGAAAGGATTTCCCAGTCTGCTCTCAGACCCGTGAGCTCAAAGTGTGTCCTGCCTCAGCCTCCGATATAGCTGCAACTCCAGGCGGATACCAGCCTCCCTCGCTACAGAGAGGACGTTCTTATGTTAATGCAATGTGTTTTCATTTACCAATTTTCTGTCTACCCTTGTTCAGCTATTTCCCGATCAGCAAGTATACATAGAGCAGAAAAAACCAAAACGGTTGCCGCCTTCAGGAAAGCCCAGTGACCCAGTGAGGTGGACAAAGGCAGTAACAGAAGACTGACAACAGATGTAGCTGTCTAAACAGAAACAGCAAAGCTGGGAAGTTGTAAGGGAACTGGACTCAGGATAGAAGGCAAAAGGTGAAGGGCAATTGGGAGGGCGTCCCCTGGAGGCTGGTGGCAGAGGGACAGGTGGTCCAGGGCACAGCGAGCCCTGCAGTCTGCACTTGCTGCCCACAGCAATGCCTGCAGTTACCCAGAGGCCCAGGAACCCAGTCAGGCGGACTCCATTCATCCTGCAGTCCACTTTCCACCCAACCTTACCTTCAACACTGAGCCACCATCATGCTTTGAACATGGGTCTGGGCTTCTCTGTCTCTTCCCGGTCAAGTGCAGGCATCTCAAACTGGATGGAGCCTCAGAGCCACCCGGGGACTTGGTACCCAGAACACAGACAGGTGCCGGGCCAGAAAGCTGAGTCAGCATTCCCAGTGGGGACTGCGTCGCTGCCTGAGTGCCCGGCCCCAGGTGGTCTCTGGGCTCCTAGCAGGGGGCGCACCTGCCTCAGCCCAGGTGTGCACAAAGCCTTGCAAAGCACCCTCGGTTGTACTGGTGTACACCTGCGGGCATGGGCTCTAGAGTGTGCTAACGCTGGGGACTGTACTTAAGGAGAACTTGGTGGCCACCCAGCATGAGCTTTCTCCACCAGTGGTCAGGTGGCCTAAGGCAACCCGGGACATTTGATAAAGGGAGAAGAAGCCATTAGGTTCATCTGTTGCCGACCACTGCAACTCATAAATGACATCAGTTTGAAATCGCTGAAATCCTTCGGCCTTCCAGCCTAGACCTGAGGGATAGGGAAGAGAAATGCCCTTATGGTATTTGTCCTGCTTCCATCACCTTTTTGGGGATTAGGTGAATTAAAGCCAAATGCTGAGCTGTGATTACAGGATCAAAAAACTTCCTGACTGAGGCAGAAAATTGAAAAAGTCCTGCTGCCTTCACACTTGGGTGACAGAGGACAGCTGTGAGGCAATGTCCTGACACAACTCCCGAGAGTCTTTCGGGAGCAGGCTGGCACCAGCCAGGCTCTTTTGTAGTCATTAGCTCATTTCACCACCATCCAATCCCATGACCCATCAAGAGGGGAACACTCCAAGAGGAGGGAAGAGACATACTCCGGCCAAACAGCTAGCACGACATCCGGGTCAGTCTCTCCAGGTGATGCTCGGAGTCTTCTGGTCCCCACGCTTGCCTGCCCCGAGCATAACAATCAGCCCAGTGTGCTCCACCAGGCTGCTGCCTGCAGTTTTGCTTTTAACCAGTAGATCATGGATGGTGGTTCCCTTTTTCATCATTTGGTACAGTGTAATTTCTTTATGTTAAAAGGAAAAACATCAAACAACCTTAAAGTTGGAGTTGCAAGAAAAAAAAAAAAACCCTTTCGTTGCTTCTGTCTTGACAAAAGCATAAGCACTAGCTTGCTGTCTTCTCAGCCTGATGGGCAGCTTCTCAGGGTCAGCTCAAACTGCTCAACTGGTTCCAAAGTGTTCTTAGGGAGTCCTAGTACACTAGTTCTAATGAAGTATTGTGGACAGAATTGTTGTGGACAGAGAGCTCTAGAATCTTTCTACCATTAAAATATTTTTCCCATTTTATATCACGAGGTTCCCAAAATGCAAACAAAGCCATTAGAAACACCAAACATTCTTTCCTTCCTCGCAGAGAGCTGTGCCGTTAATTATCTGCGTCACCAGCTTTGTCCTAAACTGAGGAACTCAAGGGTCCCTCAACACTGGCTTCTGGAGGGCTCTGTCTGAAACAAGTATGCCAGAGGGAGAATGATGGAAAACAAACTTTAATTCTACAGCAAACCACAGCAGAAAGGAGAAAGGAAAATAAAAGATACAGGCACTAGAAACCAAAGTACATAAAAGTTTTAATGAATTAACCTTACAAAAGACAAATGGCATTAAAACCTCAGACGAGTTTGATACAAAACTGTCCTCGGTGGTCAGGACTAACTCTGGTGATGGATGGCAATGTGCTGTTGGCAGGAGACACAACAGAGCAAGGTGACACGCCCCGGGTCCCAGCTGGGAGCTGCCGGTGGCCACTGGTGATGACAGACAGGGTGGGTGGGCACAGACTCCATGTGGGCAACCAAATTAACTTATTCACAAATACTGTGTGTTTGGATATCGGACTAGCGGATGCATTTGGTGAGCTACCATATTTTCCAGAAAAGAACATGCACCAGAAGATAATGTACACCCCCCAGTTTTATTGCCTTAAGAATTTGTGTTTGCTTCACCTCTCCCCTTCGTCAGTTCTGTGGGTAGGCTCCTTCCAGGACACGCTCCGTTCTCCTTCCGCTCAGGAGTCAGCACAGTGCAAGTGGCCGAAGGATCTGGGCACAGGTCAGACACCAATCGGTATGCCACTGGGTCACAGGAACTAGTCTGCAAAGGCTCTGGAGGATGGGACAGAGCACACACATTGAAATGAAGGACAAAATGTGGAGTCAGAAAGTGCATGGGATCTTCCAAAGAGGACAGTGTTCTGGCCACGTGAGGGTGACTCTTCAGGACGCCATGTTGGTCTGGGAAAGGGACCGTGACATCTCCGTGTTTACAAAATACGTCTTCAGGTCTCCCTTTCCTTTCACGTTGATTATGCCTCGACACGTGCACGTGTACCCAAGTGTCTGGAGGATGAGGCTCGTCTCCTCAGTCACCTACAGGACATGCAGACACACAGAAAAGTGTTTAGCTTGGTGCCCAAGTCAATGCACCCCATGAGAGTCATCCCAGATGAAAGAGCCAATAAAGCTTTATGCTCCTTGATGCAGTGATTCACCTCCTGAGAAATTAATGGAAAGAGGAAGTAATCCAAAAAATGAAGAGCTCGGCCAGCCAGATAACTCAGTGGACTAAAGTGCCTGTTTAGGCAGAGCGCAGCGGCCGGGGTTCAATCCCCAGCATGCTGTACTGGCCAAGCCCACAGAGTGCACTGAGATGGCGATTGGGACTGGGCGTGGTGGCGCGTACCTGTAACCCCAGAGCTTGGGAGGCTGAAAACAGGAGAATCACTATGAGTCGGATCTACATAGTGAGACCCTGTACCAAATACATTAAAAAAATTTTTTTTAAGAAAAATAATGTATAACTCAGTACTGGAATTAAAAATAAAAACTGGAGAAAACCTAAATTTTCGAGTAACCTGCACCATTGCCATTGCAATGGGAATGAACTAGTATGGGACTATTTCATCCCCCCAAAAGAATAAGGCTGTGATTTCAGCCACAAGAAATTCTGTATGCACATCAAAGAGACCTGGAAAAAAGAAAATAAATTGGTTTTAGGGCGAACGCTCGGGGGAATGTGGTATTTGTGAGGAGCAGATTTTTATTGATCCAGCCATCAATTTTTTACTTCTCTTGCTTCTCACAACTGCTTTGAACATTCCTGGAAGGGGAGGCCTTAGAGCTAGAGCACCCAGCTATTAGGAGGAAACCTACCGGAGGCCACTCCTCACTGTCAGGCTCACCCCCTCGATTCTGATGGGCAGATCCCATGGTTGCCCCCACCCCAAATCAGAAGCAGGGGCACAGCCATGGCGGCGGCAGGCGGAATGCTAGAAGGCCACGTGTGCTCTTAGAGGTTCATGAGACAGCAGCTCATCTTCAACACTACCCAGTGGGGGACACATCCCAGGAGGGCAGCTCTTCAGTGAGCCCCTCTCTTGGATGATTTGGATCCTTATCTAAAGTGAGAAAACTGCTTGGAGATTTGGAAAGCGGACTAAGAGCCGCTATCATGGCCTGAATATTTGGCAGTGTGGCGGGGACTCATGTAGGCCCGCAGGTAGAAAGACATGTTTTCGGTCAGAGCCTCCACTCTCCTCACCAGAGAAGGCCTCAGCTGTCCAGGATTGTGGGGCGTCCTTCACATTGGCAGCTAGATGAGGCTGCTGAGGCACTGGACCGCTCCTCCTCCAGGGGCTCCACGGATGCTGGGCCCTGTTGCAGCCCCCATCAAAGGGAGTCTATGTCTCTCAGTCCCACAGCTAGAGGAGCTAGCATGCAAGGCTCACTGGGAGCGGGGGCTCCGGAGCAGAGCCAGATGTCTTTACCCGCTGGCAATGGGCCACTCGGGTGTGAAGGCCAAGGAGACTGACTCTGCTTCCACTGCTTTCCTTCTTTATCTGCCTTCTCTGTTGGACTTTCGCTTTCTTTGTAACAGCTGTTGACTGACTAATAATCTGAGGGGAAGAAGGCAAACACTTAGAAATAATGTTTTCTCATTCCATAAAAATCAGAGCTTTGGTTTAGAAAGGTCACCAGAACAAATCTTCTTGGGACAAATGAGGTGGACCAGCTTGAAAGACAAGTAAGAAAGTAGAGACAGAGTGAACATCCCACCTCTGATGCCCGGGAGCAGGGGGGCATTCTACGTAAGTAAGAAAGGGTGGTAGGGCCTCCTAATTTCCAGAGGCAAGGTTATCTGCAGTCCTTAGCCAGGCACAAGGACACCACAGTGGTCTGTGCTCGGGGTGTAGGACCCGTAGCTCCTGCAAACCTTTCCCAGGTGCTCAGGTTGAGAAGAACCAAGAGAGGAGGAAGTGACTCCTGAAGTTGAGGCTCTGGGTTGTCACACTGTTCCTGGGTCATTGCTAGATCAGAGGGCCTGCTAACACAGGTGCAATGGTCTTTATCTTACTAGACTGTTGTCACCTTGGAATCTTCCCATCAGAGTTTAAGACGTCATATCACAGTGATCTGAGTACACCTAATGTGTACAGCAGCATAATTCATAATAGCTACACCTTGCATGCAGCCTGCGTGTCCATGACAAATGAACAGATAAAGGACATGTGGTATTGACACACCATGAGGTATTACTGTGCCATTTAAAGGATAAACTGGAGTCCTTTGTAAAACTCGTTTACAAATTCTGCTCCTTGAGACCATAATGTTGAATGAAATAAATCAGATACACAACTTAAATATTGCATGGTTATTCATATGTGAGAAACCCGAGTTGTAAATAAAGAACAAAAGCAGAGACAGCTATTATGAGGTAAGGAGCTGGTCCTGTCTCAGATGAAAATGGGATGGAGAGATGGAGGGAGGGGAGGGGGATGAGAAAAACAATGAAGAAGGTGTGTTTTGTGCATGGACTGACACCACTCATGAGCATAAACATTAGGCACTGAAAACCTAAACCAGTGAAAATTAAAAAAATAAAAATAAAAATGAGGAAAAGGGGGAAATTATTACCTTTAGGCTAAAAAAAGTTATATAGAAAAGAAAAAAAAAAAACAGTTGATACAGAAATTGGGTGAGGGCCGAGGAGATAGCTCAGCAGCATAAGTGCCTGCCTGGCAAGCACAAGGTCCTGAGTTTAATTTCCAGTACCAGAAAAAAAAAAAAAAAAAAAAAAACAAAAACAGAAACCAGTATTTCTGCAATAAAAAGGTTCAAGTAAATGCCAAGATTTACTTTAAAATATTTGTATGAACACATGATCGTCACCACCATCACCTTCATTACTATGGTGACAGTAATGTTGGAGCCACTCTATTTCTTGATGGCATCAAGGGGACAGACTGTGTGAAGAGACGGAGAAGACTGAGTGAGTCACCTGTATTTTATCCAGGACTCCGGTGCTGTCCATCCTGCTGGCCACATTGACAGTGTTGCCCCAGATGTCGTACTGCGGCTTCTGGGCGCCGATGACCCCAGCTATCACGGGCCCGTGGTTCATCCCTGTGGCACATCAGAGATGGTTAGGGAGACTCAGATGGAAGCCACGGCCTCAGGCAGGGGAGTTCCCCACAGCGACCCTTGAGGCATTACTAGCAAGCACTAGCCCAAGCCGGGGAACTCGAAGGCTCAGCCACGCCATTCATTCCTCTAAGCTTAGCAGCCCTGAACTACGCCCTAGATCCAATTCATGTTTGTATATCCCATGTACCATCATCCCCAGTGTGACATGGCAAGAAATCTATGGGACTGTTTTTCAAGATCTTTATTATTTTTAATGTATTTGGTCGTTACAGGGTCTCACCGCACAGCTGGGACTCACGGTGATCCTCCTGCTTTCAGCCTCCCTAGCACTAGGATTACAGGCGTGTGCCACCACGCCCAGACTCTGGGGCTGGCTCAGCCCGCCCTGGGGGTGGGGCTGGCGCAGCATGTGGTTGGTGCTGGGGATCTAACTGCGGTCCTGGTGCTTTAGTCTTCTGAGCTATCTCACTGGCCCCTTCAGGAGTTTTAGACTTAATGCCAATTTTGAAATACGCACACTGGAAGTGGCCACAGAGAGGGGATGGACTGCACTTTGGTGGCCAACTTGCCACTGTTAGATTTTGGGGCTGACATCTGTGTGTCGCTCTAATGACAAGCACGATGACAACCGTCGCAGCCACATGCTCACACAGCTTGTCCGACTTCCACAAGCTGTTCCTAGTGCTTCCCATTGACTGAACTCTCGCTATCATGCAGACCCCTGGACTGGGCCTTGTGGTCACATGATGCTTCCCAGGAGGATTCCCAGAGGATGAGGGGTCACACAGCAGCAGGTGGCGGGGACAGGGGGACAGCAACCAGCCAGGGGGGCTCCGCGGCTCCTGCTCCTCGCAGTTGGGCCCCTGCCCGATTCTGCGCCTCTGTGCACGTGGCTTCTCCCCGCCAGCAGGTGGGAGGCTGCTGATACCTTTCCATGGTGGCGATTCCCTTTGCCCAGCCATGCTCTAGTGAGTTCCCCCAATTTCTACCACTGGTAGTGAGAATTCTACCCAGGGCCCCATTTAAAAACATTTTTGTGCACGATGAGATGACTATTATTGAATGCATATTTGAGGGAGTCTTTCACATGAGGAAATGACGGATCCATAATAGCATGCGGCTGGGAGAAGATGGTAGAAGACTGGGCTAGGGCAGTCCCTGAGGCCTTGCACTCGGAGGGGAGACGAGCACAGTCATGAACAGGCCGGCGGAGGTGTTCTTCCTGAGAGGTGGCACGATACCTCCTCGAGCTGGCTCTGGAAGGCCGGCCAGGTCCTGCTGCTTGGGCTCTGGCTGCCGGCCTTTCCCTCTCTGCATTCACTGGAGACCCAAGCCTCCTCACTGACTGTGACATGCTACAGAGCCTTAACTGAAAGGTCCTTGGAGAAGTTCCGGAAGTCAGCTCCTGCATACCCAGGAGGCCCTGCTGGGCCAAGGCAAATGTTTTTGGAATGTTGGGGTTTGTGGTTTTCTGTGTCAATTTCTAGGGTAATCAGGCCCCCTGGGCCACCGCAACAACAGAGGTGACACTGATTTTGGTGATCTCCCTCTCTTAAGAAAATGAAATTATAAAACCCTTGTTACTGAAAGTTGGCATTTAAGATTTGGGTGCACTTTGACACTCGGTGGGCTGGCTGTAAGGTGTCAGCTGTTATCATGAGCCAGAGCTTCAAAATTCAGATCAGGGTCTCTATCTGAAGGGGTGTGCTGGGATCCTTTCCAGCCCAGTTCAGGGGCTGGGATGACTGCCTGTCTACAGTGCAGACACACAGACCCACGGCCATTTTGGGAATGCTGCAGGAGGGCCACAGAAGCAGATCTGAGGTGGCTCCCCACTGTCCCTTGTTTTCTTCTGGACTCAGGCTGCCCCCATGCTGCGCTAGTCTGACAGCACTGATTAATGAGGGAGTTTCTGAGAGATTTAATTTCCGAGTACTGGCTTCCTCAGGCACAGACTTTAGGCAGTTTCCTCTCTACAACGGAAACTTACACTAAGACACAGTCTGAAAACTGTCCCATAATTTTACATGTAGAGAAGAGGGGAGAATTGCATTCCCTTTTGTTTTTCAGGCATACTCAGTGAAACTAACTACCACTTTGGACAGCCCAGCTGTGTCACAAGCTCAGATCACCCAGGACCAGGTAAGAGAGCATCTCTTACTCAGGGGCTGTGCTCCTGGCTGCTGCAGACCCCTCCTTGGGTAGCAGCTGCAGGGGCAGAGAGCTGAACCGATTACTGCTGGCAACAGGGCCATCCACTTATTGCAGGAGAGTGACTGCTCTGTGCTTCTGATTAACCAGGGGACTTTACAGCTTGGGGTGCAAAAAGGTGCAAAGAGCGAATGCAGCTCTTGTTCAGAGCTGACAGCATCCATCACTTTTGGATGACAAAGCTAGCTGCTGCTCTCCTACCTGGCAAGTGCCATTCGATGGCAGAGACACCATCTAGCAGGGAGGCCTCTCAGCAGAGGCAGAGGTATGGGGAGGGCAAGACTCAAGGCCAAGTGCAATGATGAGTTAGCCTTCTGGAGAAGTCGACAGGGCTGACACTTGGCCCAAGCGCACCCATGCTCTTAGCTGTTCAATAGCTGGTGTAAAGCTGGTACTTGGAAAACACTTGCTGAAGGGAGGCCATCCAATGGATGTAGATCAAGAAAATTACTTTGGATGTAGGCCATGGAGCCAGCAAAGAATTGTCCTATTCTCATCCTGTAGGGCAGGATGATTTTGGTTCATATATGTTTAGGACTGGAAAAGGTCATTGTGCCATGCGTGGAGTTTTTACTCCTCCCACCCCCGGTCTCACTACGCAGATTGGACTTGTAGTGATCCTCCTGCTTTCAGCCTCCCCCACTGCTGGAATTACAGGTATGCACCACCTGGATGGCCGCCTGCTCAGTGCACCCAGCGTGCCCCAGGGAGACAGCTGGCGCAGCAAGGGCGAGGCCAGTGCGGCATGTGGTACAGAGGACGGAACCGCAGTCCCTGCGCTTGCCTAAGCAGGCACTTAGTCTGCTGAGCTATCTTGCCAGCCTAGATATTTTACTTTTGGAAGAGAGTGCAGTAGTTTGGATACAGTCTCAATGTGATCCCCAGAGATCATGTGTTAAGTAGAAGCTTGGTCCTCTGCGTGGTGATGTTAACATAGTGGAACTCGTCAGAGGGGGGACTTAGTGGAAGGCCATTAGGTCGCAGGGCATGCTGCCCATGAGGAGAGTAATACTGGTTCTTTACTGAGTTCCCATGAAAGTAGGCTGCTCTCAAAGAGTGAGCATGATTTTCTCATTTCTCTGGGCTTCCTCCTGCCATATCATCTGCCACTCTCACACACAGTGCCACCGGGATACCCTCTGCCACCCTGGTGTAGTGAGAAGCCCTGGGGATGCAACCACTTGGGCTTACACTTGCAGTCTGCAAAACTGAGAGCTAAGCACACCCCTGGTACTGACTTTAGGTATCTTGTCACAGCAGCGGGAAGGACCAGCACAGAGGGAAGGGTGGAAGTTGGAGGATACCGCTTCCCAAGATGTCAGCACAACAGGGAGGCTCTTGGGTCAAGGGGATCTGTTTGCTGTGGTCAGCTGCCGACCTGCCCGGCCCGCCTTGCCTTTGACCTGATGAAGGTCCCGCATATAGAGAAGAGAAGCATGAAGAGAAACTACTAACGCTCCCGGCTCACGATGGCTGGCGGTGTGCAGAGAGCATTTGCTAAATGAGATGTCACATATTTCTTGGTTTTAAAATGCAGGCCACATATAGAAAATGGGTCTAACTATCTCACTTTCCCCAAAGAGCTGAAATCTGCAGTAAGAGAAAGTCGAAGATTACGCAGATGGAATTCGTCTCAAGAATTACTCCTCCATGTTCTTTCAGAAGCCAAATGTGTTACCAAGAAAACCATAAAATTGCAAAAGAAGCTCTTAAAAATCCCTGGATGTTTGCCGCTGTGCATCCATTACAGCTGTGTGCTAACTTGGTGGCTCAAAGCCCACAGTTTTTGAAATGAGAATCTGTGAAAGTAATCATGAAACAGGCCAAGAAATCAACTTAAATTTTGTTAAGGATGTATTAGAAATCGGGAAGTCATTTTTTAATGTGCTGAAAGTAATTCTTTTTTATGGTGAAGAAAGTTGTTTTGGGGGCCAGTGAGATAGCTCAGCAGTCTAAAGTGCCTGCTTAGGCAAACTTGCAACTTATGCAAACATGCACAGACTGCAGTTTGATCCCTGGCATCATATGCTGCGCCAGCCCTACCCCTACGGTGGACTGAGCCAGGCACAAAAAAAAAAAAAGAAGAAAAGAAAGAAAGGTTTTTTTTTTTTTCTCTGTCATTGCAGAACTCTAAAGATCTAAGGTTATTTCAGAACCTAGAACACATCTGCTTGTGTTCTTGTTTTTTGACTCTGTGAACATAAGACTGTACTTCAATAATTTTAATCTGCACTTTTTCATTACAGTATTACATCCTTGAAATCTGGGTGTATGTTATGATTGGCAGCAAGTTCTAATTGTATTGGTCTAAGTCTAGAAAATGACAGAGCAGCTCCGGTCCACAGCTTCCCGTAAGCAAGCTTCCTGCTACGCATACTCTGCATTGTGGGTGGCAGAATGGCTGTTAGCTGGACAGACTCCACTTGCCAAACCATGTTCCCTCAGCTTGCATCTACCCAAAGAGGGCATTTTCCTGATGCCACAGAAGTGCTTCAGAGACTGATGGCTTCCCTGAGCCAGTCCTACTGCCCTCAGATGGCGCTGGGACTTCTACTCCAGCATCATCGGGGTCAGGGAGGCACTGAGGACTTTACTCCTTCTCCTAGACCTGATGCAACCGGGGTCCCTCCACACCACATACCCACTCGCAGCTTGAAGTCATTGAAGGAGTGCTTGTTGATGGCGTCCAGCTTGGCCACCAGGGCGAAGGCGAACTCCACCATAGTGCCTATGTGCATGTACTGACGCTCTGGCTCCTGCAAGGAAGCAGACAGGTGCAGAGGCCATCAGAGCTGAGAGGAGCGGGAACATGCCAGCCCTGACCTGCCCTCCAGGGTGCAGGAACGCGGACACACTCGAGGATGCTCTGTAAGTCACATCTCACCTCCAGGAAGACCTTGTGGGAACCTACGGTTGTGGCCATGGGGACTTGAATCTCAGAAGATACTGGCTTGAGTGTTTGTCTCAGGCATCTCCACACACAGTGGCTTGGGCATGGGGCTGGTGCATCAGGTGGCACAGTGGGAACCAGAAGACACCAGTGGAAGCAGCCCCTTTTGCTCCACCCATGGTTGGCCCTTCTCTGCTGGCCATCCTGGGATCTGGCTTCTAGGAGCTGCCTTCCCCTCCTTCCTTGCTGGATCTCACACATCCAGCCGAGAGACCAGGAGGGGCTCTGTGGAAGACCAGAGGGAGGACAGGCTCTGCACCCCTGGTGCACTGTGCTATTTGACAGCAGTTGGCTTCCACCTTGTAGGACAAGGGCCACCCTTCCTTGGTGTAGCACTGTGTTCTCCTCTGCAGATCCCCTGGCTCTATAAATATCCTGCCCCCCCTTTTTTCCTTTTTATTCCTGGAGGAGGAGAGTGCAGTGGGCTGTGTCATCCCCAAGGTTTTATGTTGAAGTCTTAACCTTGATACCTCAGAATACGACTACCACCTGTTTGAAAGTAGATCTTTAAAGAGGTAATTAAATCAGGTCATTAGCATGAGCCCTCATCCAAAAGGACTGCTGTGCTTATAGGAGAGGATGCCAGGCCAGAGGTGAGTACAAAGGGAAGACTGGGGGAAGACTGAGGAGGGCGGTACATGCTCCAAACCATGCAGAGCAGACTCAGGAGAAACCAGTGCTGCCCACACCTCGACCTTGGGCTTGCGGCCTCCAGACTGGCGAGGAGCAAACTCTGCTCTTCAGGCCACCAGTCTGTGACATTTTGTTAGGTTACCCTTGCAAGCCAAGATAACTGGTAACACTTTCCCTGAGCATTTGCTCAGTCCATGGAAGAAAGAATTACAGAGCTGAAGGAGAGAAGTCCAAAGGTTCCGCTGGGGATAAGTGAGAATTTCTATGAACATTTGTTATTAATTTATTCTTATTCCTGTTACTAATTTATAGCTACCACTAACCTGTAACGTCCCTTATATTTATTCTTCATAGTTATCTTTTAAAGAATATAAACTAATTTTATAAAGCATTAGAAATGATGCAAAATTTCATTCAACAAAGTAATTGGGATTCAACAATGGTTGCTGTATTACACGATGCAATCTTCAAATTAGCGGTTTAGGTTACCAGATATACACCTGTACAGTTGGTTAAAAACAGAACAAAACAACAACAAAAACAAAGTTATAAGATATTGAAAAGAAAAGAAATAGGTAAGAATAAAAAAGGAGCATTAAACGCTCCTTTCGATAGATCAACAGAATCTGGCAGCACAATTATCCAAACCATCCCGCATATATGCATAAATTTACCTTTTCCCTTCTTCCTTTTGCGCTTTTCCTCATCCTAGTTTTTTTGTCCCATTGAACAAATTCTTTCCCTTTCACAGTTCCTATGGTGCCTTTCAGATTTTATTTACTCTTTCAGGTTCTCACGCTCGCGAGACAACACGATGTTTGCACGTGCAGGGCTGATTTATTTCACTTACTAATACACTCTCTAGTTCCATCCATTTACCTATAAAGGCCTGAAGTTTATCTGTTTTATAGCAGAGTAATATTCTATTGTGTAAGAATACTACGTCTTTTTTTATCCAGCTGATGGACAGTTGAGTTGTTTCCAAGATATAGCTGTAATAAGTGGTGCTGCTATAAACATGGGTGCATATAGCTCAATCTGCAAATGTATCTTTTCTTAGTTTATGTTTTTGTCTGATTTTTATTTTTATTTTATTTTATTTATTTTAATGTATCTTAGTACAGTGTCTCACTACACGGATTGGACTCGTGGTGATCCTCCTGTTTTTAGCCTCCCAAGCACTAGGACTACAGGGGTGCAGCACCACACCCAGTCTCAATCACCATCTCTGTGCCCTGGGGCCGGGGCAGCACTGCTTGCAGTAGTTGAGTGCCGGCCCCTGTGTCTGCCTAAGCAGTTGCTTTAATCCTCTGAGCTGTCTGGCTGGCCCTTTGTCTGATTTTTAAAAACTGTTCATCATGTATGTTGTTCATAAAAGATATTAACTACCGTGTCTCAAGGTTTCCACTCTCCCAGTACTGGCCAGTTAGGCACACCACCATGGTTTGGAGAGCAACCTCTGTTTCAGGTCCGATGGGTGGATTGGCCTTCAGGTTGAACTGAAACCCACAAGCAATCTACTGGGTGCCTGTTGTCGAGGTAAAGACATCGTTTTCAAACTAAAGTCAAAGTTCCAGAAGTGTACCTCATGTACCATGCTGTGAGCTTCCCTAGGGAAGAGACGATGCTCTGTTAATTTGTGTCTCCACAGTAGAGCAACCATTCCAGCACAAAAGAACTGCTTGGAGAATGTCTGCAGAGGGACTCAACTCGGACGGTGGGTAAATCAGGGGGAAGTGGGGGGGAAGGAGCCGCAGAACGGTCAGACTGAGGCTCGGGGAGGTGGAAGCCCACGGGTGCCTGCTGGGGAACTTCTGCCCAGGAAGGACCATGGATGCCCTCTAAAGTGGGTGAGGCTCCCCAGGAAGGAAAGGGGATCAGCCTTGGAGGGGAGGGCTGGAGACGCCTCCTTGGCTAGGACAAGGAGGTGGAGTGGGCCAGTGTGGGACCATGGAAACATCGGAAAGTGATAAGAAACTGAGGAGCAGCTGTTGTGTATCTCAGGAAATAACTTCCAGGACCGGCATTATATTCTGTGGATCCCACAGGAGGCCTAAGCAGAGACTGAGGAAGGTCTCAGAGACAGAGAAAAGGCACCCTGGGGCTTTGGGAGTGAAGAACTTCATGGGTGGTGAAGATAAAACCAACTTGAAGAGGGGAGAGAACAAAGAGACTGTGGACATGAACTGCTTTTTAAGGTGGTGGAGGAAATCCTAATGGTAAGAGGACAGAGATACAAGCTATTCCACTCCTCTGCACAGTAATTAATTGATGAGCAGAACTCAGGGGCAGCATGCTAAGCTGAGATCCTCAGCCTGGGTGCTGTAATATTTGGAGCGATAACTCTATTCAGGGGCCCATCTGGAGCCTGCCAGGGTGCTCAGTGCCATTGACCACCTCCACCTACTGGATGTGAGTGATGTGCCCATCTGTAACTGTGACAATCCAACCGCCCCCAACATTGACAAATGTCACCTAGTTGAAAAAACCACTGCACTAAATAGTATAAATGTGACAGGACAAGAGTAGTTCAGTTTCTCCTTAAGAGAGAAGGGTCCCCCCACCCTTGGGTGAATTCTGTCATTCAAGAAAAAGGCAAATTCTTGCCATAAGATATTCACCATAGAATCATGAGAGGAAAATGAAAGGATTATGAGATTGAAATTAAGAAGCTGATGCTTGGCTCCCTTGGGTGCAATGGTTTTCTGTCACAGCTCAGTGACGTGCTTCGCCTCACAGCTCGCAGGGAACATAGGATTTGAGGCTTATGCCATCATCTGGAAAACATCTCTTCAATAGGAAGCACAGGCTTGTCTATCAACCGGCAGAATCTTGTGTGGCAAAATTACAAGGGTCCAGTCAGGAAGATGTATTTGCCCTGGAGGAAATGGTTGGTTTGTTGCCAGCCAAGCTCCCTGATAAAATACCGCCCTGTCTGCTTTCTTGCAGTAGGTTTACACTGAGGTTTTCAAATGACCTCAGCAATAAGAGATCGGGTTCCAAGAGTGAGGTTTAAATCAAATGTCAATAATTCACACCGGTTTCGTAAACCCCAGAATGAAATTATGTTTGCTCTCTGGAAGAACTTAATTCATTTTGAAAGGTCCTCACAACTGAGCTCTTGATAAATATTTGACGGCAGCATGAAGCAGCTATTTTTCCCATGTCCCAAATTATTTCCGCCAGATGTCTCCAGATATTTAACTGTCTTCTGGCTACACAGCAAGACAACTCATTCAGTTCCCTGGAATGAAGCTTGTAAACTGCTATTTCAGAAGTTTCACCCACAAGGAACACTGCTTACAATACATGCATGTTTACTGGGATTATTTAAAAATACCAGTGACTGACAGCACCTGCTACCTGCCTGGTCCTGGGAAGTTTCTGGTTCCCTACTTGCTTTTTCATGGACTTGGGGATCTCAGCTAAGGGGCACTGTGTTGCCCTGCTTGGGCCTCACAGGACACCTGTTTCCTCACCTGGGTTCTCTGAGGGGACAGCCAGAGTCTCAGGTAGGCAGAAGCGACACATACTGTGGAGCTCCCCTCACCTGGGACAGGCAGCGCAGGGAGTATTTTTTGGGTCAGGCAAAACCAGGCTCAGCTCCAGGTTTCCCAGCTTTATGGTATGACTTTGCCCGAGCCACTTAATTTCTCTAGGCTTTGCTTTCTTCTGTTGTAAAATGGGACAATAACTATGAGCCACAGTGGGTTGTAGTCAGGCTTAAAGGAATTGCTCAAACAATACATTCAGTGGACTCTGCAGAGCTTGGATGCATCTAGTACCCTGTGTGACAGTGTGGGCAAGTGCAGCATTCCGACAGATGCGAAGAGCATCAGGAGGAGGGAATCAGTGGGTGTGCTCGTCAGCTTTCTGTTGCTGTAACAAAACACCCGAGATAAACAACTTAAAAGGAAAGGCTCACTTTGGCTCACGGCTTCAGAGGCCTCAGTCCATGGTCGCACGGGCTGGTGGTGGCACAGTGTAACATGGTGGGTCTTATAGCTTGTGCCTACATGCGCTCCCAAAGCCTCATGCAGTCACGAGGTGACTTTTTCAGAGGCAGCTGAATCTAGAGTATGTCATTGATTAATGGTGCAAAGCTAAGACTATGGGTACTAGGAGTAAGGGCATGTGATTACTAAATGAATCCACTGATTGGTCTAGCACCAT